CATTTGAGTGGTATTTGAAATCTGCTGAAGGTGGCAATTCGATTGGACAATGTAACCTTGGATTATGCTATGAGAAAGGCATAGGCACAGCTAAGGATGAACAAAAGGCATTTGAGTGGTATTTGAAATCTGCTGAAGGTGGCAATTCGATTGGACAATTTAATGTTGGAATCTGCTATGAGAAAGGCATAGGCACAGCTAAGGATGAAAAAAAGACATTTGAGTGGTATTTGAAATCTGCTGAAGGTGGCAATTCGATTGGACAATGTAACCTTGGATTATGCTATGAGAAAGGCATAGGCACAGCTAAGGATGAACAAAAGGCATTTGAGTTGTATTTGAAATCTGCTGAAGATGGCGATTCTCTTGGACAATTTAATCTTGCAATGTATTATCTGAAAGACATAAATACTATAAAAGATGAAAAAAAAGCGTTTGAATGGTTTTTAACATCTGCAGAAAATGGTAATCCTGATGGTCAATATAGGCTCGGGTTATGTTATCGAAACGGTATTGGAACATCACCTAATCAAGAAAAGGCTATTGAATGGTTGCAAAAAGCAAGAATTAATTCTCAAAAAACAATTAGCTGTGAAAATCTTGATATTGATGATTTTCTAAAAACACTATTATTAGAAAATAATTTAATATCATGGATTCCATTTATTGAATTAAAATTTATAAAGAAAATTGGAAAAGGAGGGTTTGCAACAGTTTATTCTGCTACATGGACTCGAAAGAAAAATGAGATTTTAAATGTTGAACTTGTTGCACTTAAATTATTTCATGGAAAAAGCAATAGTTGCAAGGAACTCGTGAAAGAGGTAGATATTCGATACTTTAATGTTTTATTAAATATAACTAATAGTTTAATTAATAATAAATATTTCTTTTAAAGCTAAATGCATATTCTAATATCGGATCTAAAAATCCACCACTTTTACAATGTCATGGAGTATCAAGGGATGAAGGTACAGGAGATTATATTTTAGTTATGCAATATGCAAAAATGGGATCTTTACGTGAGAATCTTTACAAAGTTGCACAAATGGAATGGACGAAAAAATTAGAATTAATATCTTATATTGCATTTGATCTTCGGTTAATTCACTCGCATGATATTATTCATCGAGATTTACATAGTGGAAACATATTTCAACCCGATTTACATACAGCATATATTGGAGATTTAGGATTTGCAACGGCAATAAATAAAACATTAAATACGAAATCTAAAGAAATTTATGGAGCAATACCTTATATCGCACCTGAAATTTTACGAGGAAAACCGTTTACCAAAGCATCAGACATTTATTCTTTTGGAATAATTATGTGGGAAATTTCTTCAGGAGATATTGCATTTTCTAAATATGAAGGTAATGAATTAAGCTTAATTGCAGAAATTTGTGAAGGATTAAGACCGAATATTCTTAAAGGTACGGCGACATATTATACAGAACTTTTAAAGAAGTGTTGGGATAAAGATCCAAAAGAACGGCCGTCAGCTATAGAAATTCACGAAACTATTTTAAAGTGGAGAAATAGTCCTGAAATTTTGGCCGAATTTTTAAAATCTGATAAAGAAATGATAATAGAAAATAATCAACCTATTAGTAATAATAATTCTATTTACAATAGTAAAATTATCAGTTGTATCAATCAACTACAACAATTTGCTATTTCAGATGATAATATTGATGAAAATATAAAAATGGATATTGATTCTAAAAAGAGAAAGATGGATATCGATACTACTGAAAATATACAAATGGATAGTGACTCAAAAAAGAGAAAAATGAATATTGATTCTAAAAAGAGAAAGATGGATATCGATACTACTGAAAATATACAAATGGATATTGATTTAAAAAAGAGAAAAATGAACATTGATAGTAGTGATGTAAAAGGTTAATAATATGAGCGAGAAATATATTAAGTAGTAGATCACAGCTGAAGGTATAGATATCAAAATAAAAATCAGCGAAGAATTATGGTTACTTTCATATAATTTTTGTAAGTTTCTGCAAATAAGTAAAAATCATACTACGAAGGAAAACACAATAAATCGCGATCTACTAAACTGATTTTAATAATTCTATTATTATTAGCCAGAATAACTTACTCTACAATATTTGTTAGAAACTCAAGTTTACTTAGCATAAAAAACTTTTCCTTGTAGGTTAGCTGCACTCCAACACTATAAAAAACTATATTTAACTTTCGACAGTTTCTACTACTAAATTTACTACTTATACCCTT